GTCCGGCCGGACTATTTTCCGGCCGGAGGGTGGCCGGAATTTTCGGCTGGGGCATCCTCTTTGTAAACGGTTGATACGGTGTAGCTTGTCGAACAGACAGCCTGGCCAGAGCATTTGCCGTGGGTGTCATCTTGCGTCGGTTTACTTCAAATTACGGTGAGCAGTGTACAAGTCGTACAGTGTACAAGTCGTACAGAGGGCTGCTGCTGGTCCTCCAACCAGGCCTCTCCTGTTTGCTTGCAGGCATTTTTTCCTCCTCCCCGCGGGATGCCTTAATTGGCCCAGAATCCCGTTTCTTCCCAATCACGATGTGCCCCGTGGAGAAAGAGAGAGAGAGAGAGGGAGGGGATATCTTCCTTCATATAATGGCGAGGGATTAGTGGACTCTCTGTGTCTTCGAGTATCTCGTTCCGTCTCGAGTCTTTTCCCTCTTTTTTCTTTTTTTATGCTTCAGATCGGCCACAAACATGGGGGTGCAGTCTTATCCGGCAGCGGGGCGCATTTTTCGTTAATTAGTGCAGGCGGCCTGATCAACAGTATTCCATGTCACGTCGGATAAGCGAGGATGCACGGTGGATTTGTCAGAAGACCGGTGGAGGCGGCCAAAACTCTAGACGCGATTTGAGCTCCAGAGTCGGTAAACACGACTCGAACCGAACGTGTGACCCCACCAATGGATTCCTAGTTCGGAGAGCAATCCATTGGTGGGGTCGCACGTTCGGTTTGACTTCCAGAATTCCATTTAGCGACTCTGGAGCTCAAATCGCGTCTAGAGTTTTGGATGCCTCCACCGGCCTTGTAGCCCACTGTGGGTTGTGCTCCCGTAGGTTGACTTTATTTTCGTTACTCTAAATTCGCTCTTTTTTTCCTTCCAGTTGTCTGAGAGGCCCACTGCCCGCGCTGCGTGCGCGTCGCATTTATTGCCATAAGGCGTTTATGACTACTTGAGTCAGCCGGAATGAAAATGACTCTGGTGGTGGTCTGCTAGATTCCCGGGCATGTGCGCGTCGTAACGCGCTTTATGGATGTCCACACGTGCTTCGGCCTGCAAGCCCGCCATCAAGGCTTTAGTGCGGTTTTCGAGAAGTCAAGTAAATGGGGGCTTCTTCAAACTATTGGAAGTACGACGCCGAGGTGCTGCGGGTCTGCCGACCGGCGCACAGTGGGCCAGAAGGCTGTGGAGGCGGACAAAACTCTAGACGCGTTTTGAGCTCCAGAGTCGCTAAATGGGACTCGAACCGAACGTGTGACCCCACCAATGTATTGCTCTCCGAACGAGGAACTCATTGGTGGGGTCACACGTCCGGTTCGAGTCCTGTTTAGCGACTCTGCAGCTCAAAACGCGTCCAGAGTTTTGGCCGCCTCCCCCGTCCTTGCTGCGGCGGGGGTAGGCAATCCCGCAACACTACAGCGCCTTAAGGTTCGCAATAGTTGTGTCTTGAAGAGCACACCCTTTGCTGTAGGCAATCGCGCTACCCCGCCAGCGTCTTGCGGTTCGAGGAGGCCTCTCTGCCATAACTTACCGTGTTGAAACCGCCTCCCCGGCGCATCCGCTTCTGGAGACGACTCCCAGTGTCGTAACGCCAGGCCGCGCCAGTCGCGCCAGGCGGGGCGCCCTTCCCCCAGGACCCTCAGGACTCATTTTGCGCCCATTTCAGACCAATTAAATGGCAGTTTTGGGCGCGCGGTGACCTCGGCTCTGTAGGCGGCAGCTGTGGGTCCACGGCCGTCACGGCCCCCCAGCAGTGCATCAGGCCACCCATCCGTTCTTGCAGTGGCGCGGCTCCGCGGCCTCGCGGCTCGACACCATGCAGATGTGGTGCGAGGAGGGTTGCCCGGCATATGGGACTCGATCCCCGCCTTAAGCCTCAGGCCGCCCCCACGCCGCCCCCACGCCGCCCCCAGCAGTGGCGGCTCCACCCCCGCGCCAAACTGCCGCAGGGTTGACAACATTCAACTATTACTTTCCCCAAAGCGGTCATCGGTCTCCGAGTGCCAAGCCCGGGGTGGCTCGAGTGTGGCACACTGCTTTAACGGGTTGGCAACGCCTTATGCTGTGCGTGATGCTAAGGAGAGTCGAGCGAGTGGCGCTGGTGTGATTTTAAGTGCGTGTCTCAATCGCTCACACTGGTAAAAATAAAAAGTTTATCCGCTTTATAAAATGTAGCGTAACTACCGATCTAGAACAAATGTTTTCAGAATTCAAAATATCTGGTATTAATAGCGGTGTTTTCCCCGCATAATCGTCCCCAAAAATATCAAGAACATGTGCCGCCCAGCTGGTAGCACCTTGCTCATTTTTTTGCAGCGACCGAAAAAAATTGTCTCGGCCTGCTACAAACTGGGATTTGATGAGGCTTCATTCACTAAACGTCCCATCGATCTTGCATCAGGCTGCCCTGCCGGGCGGGTCCGGGCCGGCACTCGCCTTGCCCTGCAGGCCTCGCCGGAGCACAGTGGGGGCTAAAACTCTAGACGCGTTTTGAGCTCCAGCGTCGCTAAATGGGACTCGAATCGGACGTGTGACCTCACCAATGGATTGCTCTCCGAATGAGGAATCCATTGATGGGGTCACACGTTCGGTTCGAGCCCTGTTTAGCGACTTTGCAGCTCAAAACGATTCTAGAGTTTTGGCCGCCTCCACCACTCTTCTGGCCCACTGTGCGGAGCGGGCGAGAGTGAGCGAGTGACCCGGGAACGAATCTCGGCTCGGGACCCCGAATATTTTATGAATCTGGTGTCGCTGAGGCACTGAGCGTTACTGGGGGCGGGTGCACCAGATGTGCCCCGATATCTGGTCCACCCTAGCCGCGGGCCCCGGGCCGCGGGGGAGGGTGCGCATCGCCCCCGAGGGAAAGGCGCCCCTCTCTCCGCGGTTCGACGCGCCGCGGGCGTCTTCACGGTTTGAATCTGCCGCCACAGATTTATCCCTCGATCTGCACGGTTAATCAAAAGGCGATTGTTTGAGTTGCTGCACCCTTTTCGGGCCCCCGGCCAAGGCGGCGCCGAATGTGCAGCAGGATTGGGCCGGCTTTAAAAAGCCATTTCTTTATTGACTCCGCTTTTTTTCCGGACCGGGCGTCTTCTCGCCTCTCGAGAGATGTGATGGAGCAGGTGGGGTGCGCTCTGTTTGAACTATCGCGCTTTGCGCGGTCACACCGGCCACACCTGGCCCGCCTTGAGTGTCCCGGCAAACACCTCTCCCTCTTTTGTTCCAGGGCCGCTGCTCCCTGGGGATCTCCTCCGGGCCGCCGGCCCCGCGGTGCTAACCACCGAGGCCCTGCCCTTGGTCAACAGGGCTGCATTCCCACCACACCGTCAGAAAACACCTCGTAATTACAAAAGGAAAAACTCTTTCTTCTGAATCCTTTGACGAACTGGGTGGGTGCTCCCTGAAATGGCGAAGGCCTTCCCCTTGTGCTTTCCCATGGGGCTTTCCGGAAAGCGCTCTCGTCGCACAGTGGGTCAGAAGACCGGTGGAGGCGGAGAAAACTTTAGACGCGTTTTGAGCTCCAGAGTCGCTAAATGGGGCTCGAAGCGAACGTGTGACCCCACCAATGGATTGCTCTCCGAACGAGGAATCCATTGGTGGGGTCACGCGTTCGGTTCGAGTCCTGCTTAGCTACTCTGGAGCTCAAAACGCGTCAAGAGTTTTGTCCGCCTCGTCTGGTCTTCTGGCCCACTGTGCGCTGCCGCTCTTTGACCGCAGCAAAGGGACCGCGGCGCAAAGCCCAGCGCCGGCCGGCCGGGCGGTCAGTTTGTAGTGAGGTGAAACTGAAGCCAACACGCCAAGGAGCGATGGTTAAATAATACACTCTAACAGCCCCCTCCCCCTCCCCCTCTCCGAAGGGTTCAACAGCATGGAATGGTCGTTATAGGTGTTGAGGGGAGCGGCGGTCGCTTGGTCCGGCAGGCAGCTGCGAGGAGCTGCGCACTCTGCGCACTGCTGTGGGTGCTGCCCGGAGCTTTGTCCCTCGAGTGTTGGACCACACTGCTGATAATGCGCTCTCTCTCTCTCTCTCTCTCTCTCTCTCTCTCTCTCTCTCTCTCTCTCTCTCTCTCTCTCTCTCTCATTTGGAAAGTCACCACCGGAAGTAGCTCCCTATCATCGCTGGCAGTTGATTTTCGTTTCGTTTTGTGATTCGCACGTGGAGGTGTCGCTTATCCAACACGGATGCGGATGCCTGCACTAAGTCGTGAGGTTTTTTTGTCCCCTTCCGGTGTGGAAAACTGTCGCGTGGCACGGCCAAACTTGGCGACGCTTTTTTTTTTGGTCGATGGGAATGATGGGTGCCGGTAACGCGAGCACCGCCAGCGGACGGAACAAACCTATCCATGTCGTTTGAGTGGAGTGCATCGGCGACCACGCGGCCATGCGGGCGAGCTGCGGCACTGTTAGCAGCTCTGCAGCAAGCGCATCCGGATGCACGGACTCGCGCATCATTGACGTGGAGTACCTCTAGATCATGCCCTCCTTGGCGCGCACACCACGCGGGAAACCGTGTGCAGGCCCCCCTGCTAGACTGACTCCGAGAGTCCTTTTCGTCGCTCTGTCTCTCTCTCGCTCGCAGGGCGTCCAGTGTAGGTGCAAGAGAGACATAAGTCTCAGCTACCTAGACAGCCAGGAGATTACGCTTGTAATCCGGCGTAGAGGGTAAACACTGCTGGCGACGCTGGGGTGGCTGGGGTTGCCGCACCTGGCGAGTGTCTTAGCACACCTCGATGAAGTGGCCGCGGGGCCGACGGGGTCGCCCCTCCTCAGGTAGGCAACGCGTGCCTGCAGGACTGCTTCCGAGGGTCGCTCTGTCTCCCTTGCACTCGCGGGGCGTGCCCTACAGGTGCGAGAGAGACAGAGCGACTCTCGGAAGCAGCCGACAGGTTGGCCAACTGTGGCATTATTCGAAACTATTGCCGCAACTCAAGAGGGCTCCCCTCACCTCGCGCTCCTCGAGGCCCGGGGCGATATCGGCATTGGAAGCCTTCCCCTGCCGTGTCCGGTGTCACAAGCGCCATTCAGGCACGCGAGCGGAGGCCGCGGACACCCTGGGGGACACCTTGGAGGACACCCTGGAGGACACCCTAGAGGACGCCTTGGAGGACACCCTGGAGGACGCCTTGGAGGACACCCTAGAGGACGCCTTGGAGGACGCCTTGGAGGACACCTTGGAGGACACCCTGGAGGACACCTTGGAGGACACCCTAGAGGACGCCTTGGAGGACACCCTGGAGGACGCCTTGGAGGACACCCTAGAGGACGCCTTGGAGGACGCCTTGGAGGACACCTTGGAGGACACCATGGAGGACACCTTGGAGGACACCTTGGAGGACACCTTGGAGGACACCTTGGAGGACACCTTGGAGGACGCCTTGGAGGAAACCTGGGAGGACACCCTGGAGGACACCTTGGAGGGCGCTATACAGCACACCTTCCCCAGACTAGATGGCAAAATTTTCTCGTCCATAGTGGATTACTTCCTGCTGGAATTTCCGACTGGGCTGTGCTTGCAGCGACTTTCGAGACGAAGGACCTGAGAAAACTCCGTCCGAAACAAGGCCAGACGGGCCTGGATGCCCTGCGCGGTGCTGCGCGGTGACGACAGAGAGGGGGACCACATGGAACGCGCGGGTCGAGTTGCGCTACAATATGCCTAATTACGGGGTGAGAGGGGAGGGGGGAGGGGGGCGTGGCGGCGGGGGATGATTGGGGGTGTTGGGGGAGGAGATATGGAGATGAAGAGGGGAGCGAGGGGATCCTTCGGGGGTGACGGCTGCGCGGCAACGACAGATTTCGATTGCGATTGCAGATCGCGAGCGCACAGCAGCGTTGAACGTTTCGGCGAGTATGTGTGTTGCGTCGCGACTGGACTGGAGGCTGCAAAGTTGTGGTCAACAAAAGGCCCATTTTCAAACTGGCGTCATATTTTCCACTGTACTGTCCGGGCACGGGCACTGAGGCACGGGACATGCTGCCGTGTCGGCGCCGTGGCAGCAGGCTTACGAAAACGGGCAGAAAGCCGCCGTGAATGGAGCAGTCCGTGAATGTCGCCTGGTGGGGCGGGGCGGGGCGGGGGCAGCGAAGCCAGTCATCATTACCAGCAGTGTACGAGAAGCCTCGCACATGACAGGCGGCCCGGTAATTACAGAGCCTAAATGCCTCGCGTCGCGACGTCGTCTCTCTCGCACCCCTTCGGCACGCCCCGCCAGTGCGAGAGAGACAGCGGCCCGCTGGCTGGGCCGCGGCGACGTATCTCAAAGGGGCGCGCGCTCGCTGCGAAAGAGATTATGGCGCGAGGTCACGGGGTTCTGGAGGATCCTGGAAGGCAACAGCGTCCCTGGAACCTTTTTTGGAATCTTTAAGTCTCCACTGCGGTCTCGTCGGAACAAGCGGCTATCTCCAAAGGGAGTGCAGACAAACGGCTATCTGTGAAGGAGCTGCAGACAAACGGCTATCTTTTTGACCCCCTGCAGACAAACGGCTAACTGACTTTTCGGGAGAGGTTAGGGTTGGCCGGGTTCCTTGAGTTTTTCTCAGGTTAGACGCACGTGACAGACTCATGTTATGTGTCAATCTGCTCTGACAAACTTTTGACATCTGTTGGATAAGGTCAAATTTGACAGGCTCAATTGATTGTAAATATATAAGTATCCAAACTCGGGAAGTGGAGAAAACAGTTAGCCGTTTGTCTGCAGGGGGTCAAAAAGATAGCCGTTTGTCTGCAGCACTTTCACAGATAGCCGTTTGTCAGCACTCACTTTGGAGATAGCCGTTTGTTCCGAGGAGGTGTCGCCTTGACAGGCTGCGCGGACTTGATTGCGACGTGAAGCACCTGCCGGGGTGATTTTTAAAAGAGCGGCGATTTCCCCCGGGTCTTTATTTTCGCTGTGAACTACTCGTGCTTCCCAGGGCTCTTCCTTGAGTGGAGCGGCACCGGCCACACCCAGGTGGCATCACGATGTCGGGCAAACAACATCAGTCATCTCAACGTCAGCGCGCCCCCGCCCGCACGGCGGCACGTCGGCCCCGCCAAGACCGTCGTAACTGCCGGGCCGCTCCGCGCAGTGGAGGGGTTGTTCCCGACGGGGTAGGGGGTCACCTGGCGGCACGACGTCCCAGCAAAGCGACACGCGACAGCCAATAACGAGGGGAAGCCTCGCTCTGTCTCTCTCCCACTCGAGCGGCGACCCGCGGCGGTGCGAGAGGGACAGACCACTGACCACTGGCAGAATTAAGACGAGCGCGTGCCGATAAGGATCTGCCAAGAATCCATCACGTTTCTTTGTCCTTCTTTGTCCGCCGGCCCGGCCAGAGGACCCCAACTCTCGAGGGAGACGCACGCAGTTACGGTCCTCTCTCTCCGTCGCACCCATCGCCGGCCGGACATTCAATACAACCGGAACGGGAGATCGATCAAAAGTCTCTGGGAATCATTTTTGATCCAAGACAACAGGGGTGCGTGGGAGTACCCAGCTGCCCGGCGGCAGACTCTTCTTGCAGATGCGTGGTGGTGAACTCCCTCGCTTTACTGGAGTCCATAGTCCAGCTGGAGCGAACTGGAGGGTAAGCCCCTGGAGCGCGTTCTGTTTCCCGCAGCAATTTCATGATTGTCCCCGAGTTGCTGGAGGAGACCCCGCACGAGGCTACCCTCGCAACCTGAGCCGCCAGACAGCCAGCAAGCCGTCCCATTCAGCGGGGAGGTCCGCACAGTGGACCAGAAGACCTGGAAGCGGCCAAAACTCTAGACGCGTTTTGAGCTCCAGCGTCGCTAAATGGGACTCGAACCAAACGTGTGACCCCGCCAATGGATTGCTCTCCGAACGAGGAATCCTTTGGTGGGGTCGCACGTTCGATTCGAGTCCTGTTTGGCGACTCTAGGGCGCAAAACTCTATAGAGTTTCGTCCGCCTCCACCGGTCTTCTGGCCCACTGTGGCCCGTCGGACAAGCGGGCAACTTCCGAGCCGAGCCGCGGCCCCTGGTACTTTCATCGCTCTGTCTCTCTCGCACCCGCATGGCGGTCCATGGAAGTGCGAGAGAGACAGGTCGCGTCGTCCGGGAGCGCAGGAGGAAAACTCTTTTCAATTCGTTTAATGGGATGACACGGGCCGGCCCGTCGGACGGGGCTCCACTGATGAAAAGGCGGTGAGAGGAGAGATCACAGGAGTGCATTGACAAGAACGCGGGGCGTCTCCCGAAAGTTTGTCCCCGCCGGCAGTGAGGGAAAATTAGTCCTGGTGCAGGACGGGCGACTTCGATTCAAAAGTGGTTTTTCGCCTGGTGAAGCAATCAGTTAAAAGGAAGAGCTTTGTGGAGTGTGGTCACGTGCAAGTTGAGTGCAGGACTTTCTAGGCAATTTTTCATTTTTCAATTTTTCAAAAGTCTCAACTTACAATTTTCAAAAAATTAATTTTTTAACTTTTTATTTTTCTTACGTTTTTGATGTGAGTATTTGCAGCACTGTACCCTCTTTGTTGACTGACACTGAGGTTTCGTTCAACCCATTGGAAGGCTGTCGGAGCCGCGGTGGCGACAGCTGTGTTCGGTATCAGTTTTTCAATTTTCCCCCCGCCTGGCCTAGCCTAGTGGACTCGACCGCGTCGCCTCGCCTGCAGCCACGGCATCGTAATGCACTGAGCCTTTCATATTTGATGCGGCGTGCCGTGTCACGGTGTGTCACAGGGTGTCACAGTGTGTCACACCGTTGTCACGTTGTTTGACGTGGGCTCCGGCGCGCCTCCGGCCTCGGCCCGTCAAGATGGACGCGCGGCCCCATCCATAATGCGTGTCGTCATGGCGAAGCGCAGCGAGATGCACCATGATGCAGTGGATGCACTCCATGCGAGTTCGCGCCGTCCTCGAATCGATGGATTAGCAGAGCAGTTCACCGGGTAGGGGATTTTTGTTTTCAAATCGCGGTACGTTTGCGAGAAACGCCTGCGGAGGTAGGCAGCCCATTGGGCTCTGGAGACCGCGCGAGGCCTACCTGCCAGGGGCCCAACCCAATATGACCCACTTAAGCCACGATTATTATTTTCCACGCGGTTTCCTACAGTGGAATTTCAGCTATGTTGCAGAAAAATCTACCATCCATGTTCACTCACAGGATGCAAGATGTATGAAAAACGAATCAAAAACAAAAACAACACCAACACGACACGCACGCAGCCACCACCCCCAGCGCGGCCGCGGCGCGCTCGGTCCGCGTTTCGCGCTAGGCAAACACTCCCGCACCGCTGCGCTGCGCCGGGACGCCGAGAACATGGCTCATTATAGAAGTCACACGGATTTAGACTTGATGAACAACATTTGTGGACCGCGTCGTGGACCCGACCCATCCCTCCCCCAGACACTCCGTCCTTGTCCGCCTCGCCGTCATATTGCCGTATCCTCGCGCTCTCTCATGCGCGTCGTACGGGACGCCAGGGCCACCCCTATGGCCGCGTAGTCCCTTCATATGTAAAACAGCCCCCCTTTTTTGCGTCCCTTAAAAATAATACGTCATTGTTCGCCGAGTAAACACTCTGATAATCGGCTTCGGGCGACTTGCCGCGCCTCTGTGTGTGTGTGTGTGTGTGTGTGTGAGTGAGTGAGTGTGAGTGTGAGTGTGTAGGTGATGGCGCGAGAGCAGGGGTGTCGCGTGTAAGTGTGAGAGTGAAAGGAAAGGCGACGGGACCAGCCAATGGCCACCTGCGAGGGCAAGGTCGCATCCAGATGAGCGGCAGGTCAAGTAAGCGCAGCAGAATGGGAACCGGTTTTGCTGGAGAGAATTTTCGAAATTGTCCGACTGCGAAGATGACGCCGATGCCTGCACTCTCTGTTCGGGCGGCCACGCGGCCATGCTTGCCACGGTCGCTGCACTGGTTGCGTTGGGTTGCATCGCGGCGATGAGCGATGGCGCGGAGCTGCAGTCGAGCGGAATGCAGTGTCTCCGGCGGACCGTGACACCATGCACCATGCACCCTCTGCTCTGCTGTGAAAAAGCGGCCCGGGTTCGAATCCCCACTACGTCCGTGCACATTTTTCTTTTCAAGTTTAACGCTTTTATTTTGTAAACTGAAAAACTGTTCCGTTTAATTGTTATTTTTTCCTAAACTTTCTGTGTCCAGATCTTTTGGTCCCCAATCTGGACTGTATCGGGACTGACGTCCCTAAGTACCCCCAGCGCGCTCCTGAGAGATCTGAAAATACTCATTACAGTGATACAGTCTTTAATTTCGGCCACACGTCGCTGCAGGGGAGGGCGGTGCGGGGCGGGGCCCTCACCGCGGGGGAGGCAGGGGCAGCGTTAAGGGTTGAAGAAATGGCAGTGCGCGGCCAACACACACACACACACACACACACACACACACACACACACACACACACACACTTCGCTGCGCGACGCCCGCGGCGTGGCGACGCGTGGCGCTCGAACTGTGACGAAATTCTCCCTCTCGCCCGCGACTCCCCGCGCGCTGTGCTGTACA